TCAGTAGCCCCCACAGGACAGGAGGAGAAGCCGCATAAACCCCCCCCACAGCTACCTAAGCCAGCCTACATTAACAACCGACGCACTGAGACACACTGTAAGCAGTCAGACTTCACACTTGGTAGACTCTGGAATGGTAATTTCTACCTGATGGGGAAGCTGCTATCAAACCAAGAGATGCTACACCATGGAAACAATGACACCCGTTCCTAAACTGACGAAATTTTGTATGGGTCCAGTGAATGTGTGGGGCTGGGCGCTTGCTTGTGTGCAACCTGTAAGGACACCAAACAAAGGAGTTGGAATTTCAGCCCTGGAAGGCTTGTATACAGAAGGAAACAAGAGCCAGAGGTTTACGGATGTCTCACGTTCCAATTTTCTCAGCAGAATTATCCTAGTGTTTAGAAACCCTGCATCATTTACCTCCACCCCCAGATGACTTAAACACTTAACTACATTTGAAAGCTGCCAGTTCAACCAACTGTCCTCCTCACACAGTGTGTGACTGTAGAACATGCAGAGTGACTGCTGGGGACCCAGACTCAGTACTACCGTGACTCAACAGTTACTTGTTCTTTCCTCCTCTAAAGAAGAGGAGGCCCAATGGTGGATGTACTGGGACTTGTGACAGTGGTTCAGGTTCACTGTATGAATCCAAACCCTACAGACTCCACAACGGAAAACCTGTAGCCCCCACTGGCTGCTCAGCCATGAGTTCACCAGGTCTTTCCATATGGCAACTGTACAATATAAAACCAGTGATGGAAATCCAACATCTGCTCCTACAGCGGTGAAGAACAGGGGTAAATGAAGACATTACAGAAAAAAAAGAAATCTTATACCAGGCTAAATTTCCCTTTCCCCTGGAACCTCTCCTCTGACACAATAAGCTGGTTTTACTGTAGCCATTTCATGGATTACCACTCTCACTCCAACTGACCCAACACAAACATTCTTTGTAACAAACTGAGCAAGCGGGGGCAGGGTGGAGGGCGGGGGAGTGGGATGAGATGACACAGAGAAAGGGATACGGGCAGACAGGGAGAGACAGCAGTGTCTGGGACCTCCTGTTTTCTCCATCATGAAATTCTTTTGACCTATAATTTATAGTACATAATCCTGTAGAGACCTGACTTGTTTCAGGCAACCAAAAAAGGAAGAAAAGCACAGGCACAGTGGCTTCGCAAGTATCTTCTCAGTTTATAGAAAAGCTTATCATACATATTTTAAGCAGCAAGTCTTTAGATCAAGCTTCAGAAACAGGTTCCATTTATAGCTAGAATAAACACAGGTTTTCCTTTAGAGACTCATCTAATTCCTTACCTTGGGGAGCAATAAATTTCAAGGTTAATTTTTTCTTACACTGGTCAGTGCAAGATGGATCAATACAGCCTTTTTCCCCTCCAATGTTAACTGAGGCACAGTTTCTAATTAATCAAATAATTCTGGGACTCCTGGAAAATGTAAGGTAGTCAAGAATTACAAAAAGGGATGGAAAAAGGACAGCACTGTTTGTCAGAAAAGGTATCGGTAGAGAGTTGTTACGTGGTCCTCAGCCACTAATCCAGACAGAATATTACAGGAGAAAGTATGCCTAATGGTGGCTTTAACCAGAGACAACTATGCATTTTCTCTTCCGTAGGATCCCACTCACATTTGCGTTGAAGCCCAGTTACTTTTGCAGTAGAGGGCACCCTGCTGGCAGACAACTTGAATACATCTAGAAGAGTGGTTCTGGAAGACCTATCTCACCAAAAAAGCATCATCAGCTCTTAGGTCCATTCCTCAGTATACCTAAGAAACGCCAAGGTAAATACTCTTCTGTGGTATCGGACCTGTGCGAAAATTATCGTGTGTCCCAGACTTTCATCAGTATGCTAAAGAGTTACCTAATGGGGTAAGATGAAAACCTTCCCTTGGTATTGACTGATTTAGAGAGCAAAGAGGACCTTAACTTACAAAGGCATTTAAAGATCCACAGCAAAATTCACAGAACTCTATTTAGCACCAGAAGGGAATCCACTCCTTAGTTTCCAACACCACCGTATTCTGGGGTTCAAGGAAGTCCACTATTCGCATCAATCTTGGAGGTACCCAAATAAGATGACAGCTCTGCTCTGTGGGGCACTGATCTTTTACATACAGGGAGAAAATCCTGTCCCGAAATCCTCATCAACTACAGTCAAAAAACTCCCAACACTACCATGGAACTGAAAGTGGAGAGGTCAGTGCCGAGTCCTTTGGATAATCAGTTGGAGCCTCATTTTTAAAGGGACGGACTCACTGGATAAACACCACTGTCAACTGGGACGACGTTCACACGTTCAGAAGAACACGTGAGAATCTGGTAGATGACCGTGGGCATGGCCACACAGACATTACGCAAACACTGCAGTCAGTACTGGCAGTTGTGTCTTCCACGGAAAATGCCATTTCCATGAACATATCTGAATGCTTACAGTATGGCAAAATTTGTTCTCCGCTGAGACACTGTCTTTCAGAAGAGCCTTCTCCTGACGGAGAGCAAAATCACAGCAGCACCGTGAAAAACAGGCTTAGTGTGCTTTGGTAAGAGAAAAGCACTGCAGATCTACAAGCTGCTGAAAAGAAAAAAGGAAAAAGAAGTAGCATGAGGTGTCTTAAGATGCCTGAAAGAAAGTTTGTTCAAGAAACTAAATGCTGCTAAAAATGGCAAAAGAGGGTACGCTACAGTTGGGTTTCTTTTTTCCAACTACTTCTTTACGGTTAGTCTCTGTACTCAATGTTACGTGAAGCTCAAAGAACCCATTTCCCTACTGACCCCGGCTGTGCTCCAACGGTTCAACCTTCCAACTTCAAGAGGAGCTTTAGCACAACTAGCGCACACGTCGTAATGCTTCACCTCCAGAGCTCTGGGTGTGCTGGCGCTCTAGGGCGGTCAGGAGGCACCCAGGACCGGATCTCTGGCAGTCAGCACTGTCATGTGAGTGTGAAAAAAACCAAAACGGGTCAGGACTCAAACACTCACGCACTGTTTGATGAGAACCTACGCTTTTGGTTAGGAGCCCAAACCCCACGTTTTTGTAAATTAACAATGAAACCACCATCTTTACATAAATAAGCCAAAGACCTGCAGAGCTTGGGAAGCCTCTCTTAGCAGGTGTTTTTTGGTTTGATTCTCTGTCTTCGCACTCACTGGCAACTATTATTCCCACATCTAGTTATTTATAATGGGAGCTACGAGCGTAAACACAGTTTTCGCCATAGGATTTCTCAGAGCAAACAACCTGCTGTACAATATTAAAGTTCTCTGAGAACGATGAGGAAACTGGAATGTTGTTGCCCTCAGAGTTCCTGGAGTGCCTGTACATCATGATCTCCAGCACGCTGTAGAATAATTTAGGCTGGAAGGGATCCATGGAGGCTGCCTCATCCAACACACCACTCGTAGGAGGGCCAACTTTGAAACTGGATCAGGTTGTTCAGGGTCATTTGAGTTCTCAGTATGTTCAAAGATGGAGATATAAGTGTCTCTGTGCAAATTATTTGATCAACCTCATCTTAAAATAAAATCTATTATCTATTCCATTTCCCTTGCTGCAAACTGCAATCTGCAAAAAACTCAGTAATCTCCAAAACAAAGAGTATAAATAAGACTAACACGTACTACAAATATGGGAAATAAAGATACACTGCCTGTAAATTTACTCAAAGAGTTTTAAAGCAAAGGATCTAACCAATCCAGAAGGACAACAGGCTGTAACTGTTAAAAAACCCCACTTATTGATACAGTATTATTAATGTAAATCCTATTCACATTTGTTGTCACTAGTGGAAAACTTGTCTGCCATGCAGACAGGCTTAATACTACATTTGAGCTGCATCGTTCGTGTATGATTGGAAATGGAACTCAAGCAGCTCAATAACCCTATGGCAAATCTATTTAGCAGACGTGGGTAAAAACTTTCAGGTAATGTTTCTTAAATTTCATTCAATTTCATTTTAATTTCAACCTCAAGTAAGATTTTTAGAATAGACAGAACCCTTTGTCTACTGAGACAGTAAATACTGGGATTGGAGGGAAGTAGCTGTTTGCTTATGCACATATGTTTGCCCAATCCCTGCACACAATGGTTTAACATCAAGTGTGTAACTAAGCTTGCTTCTGCAATACCTTCAGAAGCGATGTTAAGCCAGTTTGCATCCACAACCTATGCCAAAAGGCTTAAAATTGATCTTAATCTAGATTTGTTTTCCAAACTCTCTACTGTCGTTAGGGATGGGGTAGACTGATCTCGCATATCGAAGGATGAAATTTCCCAAAAGTTTCAGCTCTCTCCACTGATTATCTAACTTAGACTAGGCATGTAATAATTAGACTGCCTACCTTAATCTCATCTATTCTGAATATTTAGATTGCTGCACCTGAAAAGAAACCAGGGTGAGAAAATGTACACAAGCAGCAAATGATTATGAAGTGATCAGCAGCTTAACCAATTAATTTTTTTTAAATTTCTCTAACAGGTGCATTACCTTTTTTTTTCCTTTTTTAAACAAAGCACTAAATTAGTCATGGCTTCAAGAATAAATGAAAACATGTGCAGTAAGTTCAAGTGTTTAACAGATTACCAGACCAAAACACATACAAAAAGCATAATTTAATTACTGTAACTTTAGAGTGAGTAAGCAATAACAATGAAATTTTTAACTGTCACAAGTCTTTGTGAATATCTAAAAGCCTAATACAAATATCTAAATTATTAGTAAACATGAGTCATTTAAAGTGTTACTAATATGACTTTCAGTAACTCTGCATTAAATGCTGACAAGCCCTTTCTAGAAGAATATTAATTTACAGTCATTCTTTCTAACAATTCTTTGTACAGTAAAAAAAAAAAAACTAGTGTTTTTCTGCTTCCCTTTCCCACCCAACCACCCACATAGTTCTGCTCTCACACTGAGCTGCTGGCCAGTCCAACCTGATGATAAAATTCCCTGCAACCAAGGGTCCAAGATCTCCATTTTAGCATACAGCTCAAATGCTCTTTGGGAATAAAATCCATGTTTTGTATAATGTGCAAAGTGCAAATTTTCTCCAGTGCTATCAGAAGTGTGTGGTGCTAAGAACTTCAGCATAGAATAAACCAGTAACTATTAAGACTTCCCGATTTCCAATAGCTCCGGTACGGACAAGTGGTAGGTGATGTTTACAGGAATGACAGATCAAGTGGATTATATGCCGGTGCTCACTAGGTCAGGTACTTTCTGATTTTGTTAGGCCAAACCCATGGTTTTACTCAAGTTCTTCAGTCTCCTCTGTGAAAAGGTCAGCCAAATCTGCCACTGTCAGAACTGAGGCTTCCGACTGTTTCATGGAAGAGCTCGTGTGGCTGTGGGAAAAAAAAATTGCAGGCAGACATGAGAGAAGGAATCAGCTGAAGTGACGCGCTGCACGTACCGAAGACGGACCACTTGGTTCAGAGCCCAGTAAGTGTTCAGCTCTGAAGCTCAGCAGG